CGTCTGGCTTGACTTAGTATAATACTTTTGGGTTTGTTCATGTCTCTGTATGTATCAGTAGTTTGTTCCTTTTCATTGTGTGATGAACCACAACTTGTTTATACACTCATCATGGGCATTTGGGTTGTTTCAAGTTTGGCAGATTATGAAAAAAGCTACTATAAACATTTAAGTACAGGTCCTTGTATGAACAAATATTTTTATTTATCTTAAATACATCTTTTAGGACTGGAATTGCTGGGTTGCATGGCGTGGTAGGCAGAACAATGTACCCCTAAAGATCTTAACGTCTGGAAACTCTGAATGTTAGGTTACACGGCAAAGGGTAATTAAGGTTGCTGATCAGCAGATAGGGAGATTATGCTGGTGGGCCCAAAGTAATCACAAGGGTCTTTGAAAGTGGAAGACGAGGAAAAGGTCAGACTGATGCAATGTGAGGACTCAACTCACCCTTGCTTTGAAGATGGGGTAGGGGTTGTGAGCCAAGGAATGTGGGCAGCTTCTAGAAGCTGGAAAAAGCCAAGAGAGGGATTTTCCCCTAGAACCTGCAGAAGGAACACAGCCCTGTCCACACTTGATTTTAGCCCTGTGAGACCCACGTCAGCCTTCTGACCTCCAAAACTGAAGAACACTGTGTTTTTAAGTCACTGGGTTTGTGATAATTTGTTATAGCAGCCACAGAACACTAACACACATGGTAAGGGTATAAGAAACTGCCAAACTTCCAAAGTGGCCAACCCATTCTGCATTCTCACCAGCAGGACAGAGTGTTCTAGTTGCTCCACATCCTTTTTTTTTTTTCGTAGTGTCAGATTTGTTATTGTTGTTGATTTTTCATTTTAGCCATTCTATGCCTCTTTTCTTTCTTCTTGGTCATTCTTCCCATGGTTTATCAATCTTACTAATCTTTTAAAAATATAAGAACTTTCCATTTTCTTTTTCTATTTCCTTAATTCCTGTTCTCATCTTCATTATTTTTCTTGAGGTTTAGTTTACTATTCTTTTCCTAACTTCTTGAGATGAATACCTAGTACATTGGTTTTCAGCCTTTTGTCCTTCCAATGGTAGCATTTAGGACTATAAATTCTGACTCTAAGAATGACTTTAGCTGCTTCTCACAAGTTATGATACATAATATTTTCATTGTCATTCAGTTCAAAATATTTTCTAATTTCTTTTTTGATTTCTTCTCTGTTCCATGGGTTATTTAGAAATGTATTTCTTAATTTCCAAACATATGGTATTTTTTAGTTATGACTGATTTCTATCTTAATTATATTATGATCAGAGAACATAGTTGGTATGATGTAATTCCTTTAGGAGGTATCGAGGCTTGCTAAATAGTCAAACGTAGTCAATATTCATAAACGTTCCAAGTGTTCTTGAAAACAGTGTGTATTCTGTGATTCTTGGGTACATTGTTCGCCAGGCCAAGGTTGTTGAATGTTTTCTTCAAGTCTCCCACATCTGTACTAATTTTTGGTCTGCTTGTTCTATCACACACAAGAGGTGACTTGAGTGTGGCTTAGCATATTTCTCCATGTCTTGTCATCAATTTTTGCTTTCAATATGCTGTTACTGTATTATGTACACATAAATTTGGAACTGTTACCTATTCTCTTATTTGACGTGCACATCTTCATCCCTAACATGCTTTTTTGCCTGAAAGCTTTTTTTAATATATAGGAAATACAGCTACACATTAGCATTTGGTGAGAGTTCACATGATGTAACTTTTCCTCTGTCTATAAAGACAGAGAAAGTTTTAGACCTCTCTCGTAAAGTGCATAGAGCTGATTTTTAAAAACTTTTATCTAAAAAAATTAGAGCATGTAATTGCTGATTTATCTGGATCCAAACCTACCACGTTACTAAACGCTTTCTCTTTGTCATACTTGTTCTATTTCATTTTCTTGTTTTCTTTTGGATTATCACTTATCAGACTAGTTTTCCTTCTACTAGCTTGAAAGTCATACACTTTCCCCAATTTACATGCACTCTTACTAAGGCTCCCTGATCTGGCTGACTGGGACTTCTGTCCTCACCCCAGATAACTCAATTTACCCCACTCCCCAACTTGCATGCTACCAGTGTGGTATTTACTTAGTTTTCTCTAGATTTCCAACTCCACAAGACATTATCAGTTTTGTACAGTCATTATTCATTCAGATTTATCCACATGACTACCACTTCCATTACCATATATTCCTTTCCTCATCAGTGGTTTCTAGACATTGCTTACGTCGTTCTACTGTATACTCAGTGTTAAGAACTAGTGGCCTGGACTGTAGCTCCTGACCTGGGGAACCCTCCTCCCCCAGTACATCTTTCCGATGGAGAAGAGGAATATTCTGGAGGAATATCTGATGACCTGAAGTCAACTCTTCCCATGGCTCCTACTGCCAGCTGGATTGGGTTTATAACTCTTCCTTGATCTGTTCCCTACCTACTTCTAAAACCTCACATTTACTCACGACCCACATTTCTCCATACTGGCTATTCACATTTAACTACTTTCCAGAGTACAAAGGTTCTATCATAACGTGCTACGGCTAGTACCTGAATTGCCTTTCTCGACTCCCATATCTGAGAAAGTGCTTCCACTCCTTCAGGACCCAGTCCCTTCCCTGGACGCCCCCTGTGCCCCTCCAGGGCCCAGTCCCTTCCCTGGATGCCCCCTGTGCCCCTCCAGGGCCCAGTCCCTTCCCTGGATGCCCCCCTGTGCCCCTCCAGGGCCCAGTCCCTTCCCTGGACGCCCCCTATGCTCCGTGGCTGGAGGCAGAGCTCTTGTGAGGGCACTCCAGGCACAATCTGCTCTCTTGTCTTGTTGCTGCTCTGGTTGCTCCATGAGGGCACAGACAGTCTTAAGTATGTTTGTGTCCCCAGTTCCTTGCCCAATAGGAAAATGGGGCCTAAACTGAGTTTATTTTTAAAATAGGGATAATAATAATCCCTGTAACGCCTTTTCCTTTGTGGTGTTTGATGTTGAAATCATAGTCCATGTGAAAGAGCTTTAAAAATCAAAGGCGCATGTACAAATAAAGATTTATGGTCGGTGGGCTGAGGCAATTGTTTCACATGCTTTATGGAAAAAAAAATTTAAAGAAAACATGTCTAGCTTTATGTTGTTCCCAGTAAATTTATGAACTTAAGCATCAGTGGATAATACGTCACTTTGTAACTAGTGCCTGAGTAGTGGAGAATAAATTAGCTTTGTAAGGAGAACTTGAACATTATAGTGCAATTGTTTAAAAATTTTCTTTTCTTTGCATGGCAACTCTTTTAAAATAAAATCTTACATGAATCCCAATACATGAAATAAATTAAAGATTCACGATGTGGTTGAAGCTCATGTGGTGAGTCTTTCTCATAGCATCACTAGTGTACAAAATGATTACCTTTCTGTTAGGCTCAGAGTCATAGGCAGATTTCAATAATCTTTTCAACTAGAAACTTGAATCACTTTGTTTTAACATGCCAACAACCAAGATGGCATTTAAAAGTAACTTTATTACAGTTTAGGATAGCTGTTTTAAACAGTTTGATATAATGTGGCTACAAATAACCACCACTTGCATCACGCCAGGCACTCACTCCCGATGTGACACTCTCCTCGGCTAATGCTCAGTTCTGGGCACGGGCGGGCTCTGTAGGACAGGCAACCTGCCCTCAGGGGCTCACCAACTCTCCTACTACCACCTTCCAGAACTTGGGCTTTATTGATCCTGAGAAGAAAGTGCAGAGCTTTTTCTGTGATACCGATAACTTACTTTACTAAAGTTTTAAAAGCTTAAGAGACATTTGTGAATTTCAAATGCAAAAATGGAATTTAAAATGTCCAGATAAATTGTGCTATGAAATAAAGGTTTTATTTGCAACTTATACAACTTCATGAAAAAATACATTGCTCAGAATCTAACATAGGCTAAGTAAAACATTTTGTTGTCTAAAAAATACTGGTAATATACTTCTGTCTTAAAATAATTCAAACATATAATTAGATGAACTAATTTTGATAAAATGTTTCTTAAGATGACGGTTTGCAAAAAGAAAAGTTAAAGTAATTTTAACACATTTTAGTAAATATGTAGATATATTTTTTAAAGAGTAAATGTCAGTTTTATCTAGAATATTCAAGTACAAAATGTGAAAAAATTATATACGTATGACTGTTAAGAAAAAAGTCAGAAACCATTAAATTGTTCTGAGAATACTACTAAGGCACTGACTTCAAATATCCCTTAAGATATGAATTATCTAAATTCTTGTATCTTTAATATTCAGATGTTCATAGTTATTTTCTTAAGAAATAGTTTTAAAAAGATGATTCAACCTTATTATTTTTTCCCTGGAAGATAGTTTTAAACAACAAATATGTAAGACACCCTAATTAAAATAGCGTGATAACATCCAGGTTCAAAAGTACTTGCCACTAGAAAAAGGATTTATATACCTGGATGTTTTTACTTTTAAACATATTTTGTTTCATCACAACAATACATCAACCACAATAAGGCATACCAAAGCATGGAAGGCCATCATGTTATATAATTTGATGCAAAAGCTTAGATCATGTTACCAGTTGGATAACTGTATCAAAAATTAAAAAGTCCTATACAACTATTGAGAGGTTAGTTTCAGGTACATAATACATTTTAAAACTTATTCCTAAAGCTTGACCTTTAGAACGTACAAAAAGTTCCATCTTGGAATATGACAGCTGTAATATGAATGAATTCTGTATATTCAGCAGCGCTGACACTGCTCTGCGGTACAATGCACTGCAAAGTGACAATAACTGGGCAGCAGGAGAAACAATCTAGATCCATCACAAACCAGCAACTTAAAAACTTGTAACAACACTGAATATGTAAGTGATATCCACTCTGGCTTATGTATTGCCCTTATACTTAGAAGTATTTTTTCCATAAATGACAATAACTGTGGCCATTTGCCAGATATAAGCGATAGAGCAAATAAAAACAGCAAGAAAATCAAAGCACACTTCTAACATTTTAATAACTTTTGCTTGTGATGACTTTCTGTGATCTGGAACCTTTGTTTTACATAAAATTGGAGCTGGAAAGAGAAAAAACTTCTGATTGGTACAACAGAAAATCATATATGAAATAAAAATTACTAGAATCATTAGTTTTACAAAGCTTTTATAGAAAGAGCAAATATACATCTAATATACTATAGGATATTTAGCTATGGGATTTTAGAAAAGAAAAAACAAAAAAACACCAAACTGTTTTCTTGAGAATTAATTAATTCTGAGCTCTCAAAAAACTATGGGCTTGGTCGTGATTTTGTAAACAACAGCACATACTAATGATTCTCAAGTGGAACAGGGTGACAGTTTTTACAAGGTAAATTGTCTTTCGTTTATGGAATAAAATTGGGGAATCCAATTTTAGTAACACTGCATTAAGATGAAAGGATAAGAAGGTAAAAGTTCCCTTAGCTTTATAATTCAAAGAATATTGAAAAGCAGTAATAAATTATATTTTTAGTTTACTTTTTGAAAATCAGTGCTTGAATAAAACATAGCTTTTATGAATTGTATTCATTCTTTCGACAAATGATTGCATGCCTACTAAGCACCAGGCACTGTTCTAGGAGCTGGGGGTGGATACGTCAAGGAACAAAACAAAGATCCACGCCCTTGTAGAGATTACATTAAAAGATCATACATGAAAATTCCTTCTTTCTTCCCCCAAAACTATAAAATTCACAGGCCAACTAAATCCACCCAAACTCTGTGGATTTACTTCTCCTTGGTTCAAAAACGGAACGCCACCATGGGAGAAGGTTATGTTTTCCTAACTATTTTGAAGTTGAATTAACAATATCTGAAAATGCTACATTTGAAATAAAATGTGGTGATAAAATTAAATTAGAAGTGTTGCTCCATGAGGAACATAAGGAGGATTGGATGCTGCTAAAGCACAGGTAGTTGGAGTAAACTGAGGCAAAGACCCACAAAGGAGCATTCTTGATAGAACAAGTCAACAATGAATTTCAAGAACAGTCAAATAGGCAAGCTGACAAGGACATTTTAAGTGGAAGAAATAAAATGAAGCACAAGAAGTACAGAAGAGGGAAAAAAACTTATTTTCTAAAACTTTGGTAACTTTGATTTTAACACATACCCCACACCTATAAGCCTTGAGATTATCATCCAAACGCTACTCATGGCCGCCCCATTGTACTGGGGCCCTCTCTACCTTCCTCTGCATCTTTACGTCCACCACTCGTTTCACAAGCTCTGACATCAAAGCACAGGAGTTCGAATCGATAGCCTGGTTCCCTTATTAAAATAAAAATTCTCACAAAATCATTATCAGTAGAATTTCTTTAAAAAAAAAAAAAAGTGAACCTAAGAATTAGTTTTGCTAATCAAGTATTATTTTATGCCTATGATTCCCCAACAAAGTGCAGCTTCCATTTAGATATGAAATTCAACATATCTACTGGGAAGGTCAGCAGTTACCAGGTGTGTACTAGAGCCACAGGCTGGGCCAGGAAATAAGAGCAGCCAATTTTTTTCCCCAAGGAACTGACCCTTTTTTACATTGTGATGTATTTTTATTTTGTTCATTCATTTATTTACTCATTTTGGCAAATATCTGCTGAGCACCTAATATGTGCCAGGGCTGTTCCAGAGGAACAGTGAACAGGAGGGACAAGGTCTCTGCTCTCAAGGAGCTGACATCTGAGTCGCAGGAGGCAGACGAGGAGTAAGGAAGCGGACAGTGAGCAGCACTGTGAAGGGCAAACAGAGCCATGAGACAGACAGTGACGGGAGGGGGCTCCAGAGACAGGGTGGGGGCTGGCTTACTTCTTACGGTCCTTGTCCCTCTTCAGGTTGCTGCCGGATGCCATAAAGCTCTGGTTCTGGTATATCTCGGAGGTAGCTTTCTTTTTGGAGAAAGCAATTATTTCTTCTTCCAAAAGTCTTCTCTTTTCTTCAAGCTTCATTCTCTCTTCTTGGTGAACTCGTTTAAGGTGCTCAAATTTGGCCTGTAGCTGTGAAACAAAGGTGCAATTCTCACTGAGGACACAGTGTGGCAGCACATGCCCAGAAATGTTCTCTGCTCAAAACACAACTCACCTCCCTACACAGTAATCTAGCTACACAATCTTCCTGATGTCTCGAAAGTTCAAGCTTCAACCAAAAATTTATGTATACAATTGCCTTGGTGACTTCAATTTTAAATGATTTCCTATGCAAACTATGCATGAACAAAACATAATAAAGAACCATAGCCTCGTGAACAAACCTCAGTTTTTAAAACATTTGACCTTTTAGAGTTTTTATTTTCTTGCTCTACATTTTCCCCACAAAGCTTCTTCAAATAAAGTTTCTAAAATCCATGGTCAATAAATATGAGGGACACAAATTACAGAAGCAAGTTGTCAAAAAGGAAAAAAAAATCTCTTATTTTCAAAAAAAGCTTTTGTGTAGTGCAACAGTTGTTGAAAGTTATACTGGTAAACTTGTTGGGAAAGCAAGTGTCAATTGTCAATTTAAATCAAGAATCTTAAAAATCTGTCACATTTTTCCACAGTCATTCACTTTCTTGAAATCTAAACTAAATCAAGAAATCCTAAATTCAGAGAATGTTTTATACATTAAAATACTGACTGTAGTAGATTTTATACCATGATGGGAAAAAATAGCCTGTGTCTAATAAAATCAAAAAATAAATTTATGCTAAATACACTCAATGCAGCCATTAAAACGAGTTTTGCAAAAGTTCATAACATTACAACATGAGATTTTCCTGGTTTAATTGTTGTTTATCTGCAAAAAAAAAAAAACAAAGTAGGGACTTGAGCAGACTCCTTATGAATCAGCTGTGTGCCATGCCTGCCAAGAACACAAGCACAGCACAGAGAACCTACATCAAAAAAGAGAATTTTTTTTGATTCTCTAGTCTGGCTAGATAAACTTCAAATTAGTATTTTCAGTTCTGGGGAGGAACCTAGCATTCATACTAAAAGTAGGACTTGGTTTCTAGGAAAGATGAGGAAATACTTCACTAAAAATCATAGGCTGAGGGTAGAAACCAGAGAGAGCTAAACTCCATCCTAATAACAATTCAATGATCCAAATACGGAAGAGGTTGTCTAGTGAGGCCTTACACCCCTGACGGGAGAAGTATTTAAATAGAGGCAGACCAGGACTGAAATAGATTAAGTACAGCCCTTCTACTCTAAGATCCTTTCATTCCTTAGGAGGTCATTTCAGAGAAGCATCAGTTCCTTAGTATTTGCTTATTCAAATGGTTCCTTCTTTTATAAAGAGATACATAAGTGTGTGTATTTAAAGGGTGGGACTTATCCAGATGTCATTCAAATCAGTGTTATAAATGAAGAGTCACAACCCTCTGAGCATGTGTGTATCCCTTATACATTTGGGAGAGGAGGGGCATGGAGGATAAAGCTTGGAAAGGGAGGATACAGGGGCAGACTTATATTATGTGAATAGAGATATAGCTCTGATTACTTAAATGGAGGTTGCATACTTAAATATCTTGAAAGGTTATAGAGTAAACTTCATATATCACTGAGGAGGCTGACTAAAAATTCCAGGAAATGTATAAAGAGAAAAATGTTTTAAAAAGGGAGGATGGGGAAGATGTGAATGTGACTATTATTCACATGATGTGGAGTTGACAGCTTTGATAGCAGCAATCTATTTCATACACATTAAGCACTCACTCATGGTTCCATTATTCACTACAATAAGGCATTTATTTTTTTATTCTTTTTTTTAAATATTTATTTATTTATTTATTTTTCCCCCCAAAGCCCCAGTAGATAGTTGTATGTCATAGTTGCACATCCTTCTAGTTGCTGTATGTGGGACGCAGCCTCAGCATGGCCGGAGAAGCAGTGTGTCGGTGCGCGCCCAGGATCCGAACCCGGGCCGCCAGCAGCGGAGCGTGCACACTTAACCGCTAACCCATGGGGCGGGCCCTATAATAAGGCATTTAATTCAAACATATTTTCAAATACTCAGAAAGTTAAAAACAGGAGACCTTTTGTGCTGTTGATAACTACTCAGCAATGCTCTTAAGACCATATTGCCAATATGGTACACTGCTGTATCTTTTGTAAACACTACTTTTAAGGATATTATACAGTCTGTTGTCCAATGATCCTTTTAAAAGTATCTATTTTTAGAAATAAATGTGAGAGACAACATTCCTCTCTTATTGAACTAGTAAATATCTTTAACCTGAGCTCCGTACCTCACTGGGGTCCCTGCCTGAAAGGCAGAGCTGTCTGTGTGTTCACGAAGTAACCTTCTGCCACAGCTCTCAAGTGCACCTATGTGCAAGCCCCTCCTTCTTGTCCTGTTTTATAAGGCTCCTGTACTCTCATGTTCAAGCTTATAATATAGCTGTATTTTTTTAATTGAAAATTATCTTGGATACTTTCAGAAATGGGAGAGGCATAAACATTAAATGAAAAATTAACCGGGCTGGCCCCATGGTTTAGCGGTTAAGTGCGGGCGCTCCGCTGCTGGCGGCCCGGGTTCGGATCCCGGGCACGCACCGACGCACTGCTTCTCTGGCCATGCTGAGGCTGCGTCCCACATACAGCAACTAGAAGATGTGCAGCTATGACATACAACTATCTACTGGGGCTTTAGGGGGGAAAAATAAATAAATAAAATATTAAAAAAAAAAATTAACCAAAAAATAGACTTACATATAAAATTGGGAAGTAGTAATATTTTAATGATGGTTATGTACGTTATTTGAGGGATAAATATAAACTGTGTACTTCTTCTTATAGTGGGGGAAAGGGTGTGAGAAATCTGTGTGTCAAACATGCCTTATTAGCACATCTAGAATGACATTAATAAAGATATAGAAAAGATAACATTTAAACAATATTTTGAAAGATAACGTTTGTTCTGTGCATCTCGGTACTCCAGGAATCTGATGTTCACAGCATTTTCAGCGAACTATATATGAAAATCCAGATTTATACAAAAGATAAATTAAGGGGTATTTGTTTTACAACAATATTGGTAAGGATATTTTAAATAACAAGGTACTCTAATACAGAATTAAATAGTGTTTTGGGTTATCTTTTTATCAGTGACTGCCAGTATCTTACTGATATAACTAGCTTTTGAGTGACCAAATGTCCCAGTTTGCACAGAATAAGCCCTGGTTTACACCTACCTGTTTATACCTACCTGTTGTCCTGGTGTAATTATTAATAAGCCTCCTCTCCCTCTAAAACCATACTAATTAAGACAATGGAGGCCGGCCCTGTGGGGTAGTGGTTATGTGCACGAGCTCCGCTGCTGGCGGCCCAGGTTCGAATCCCAGGCGCGCACTGACACACTGCTTGTCAGCCCATGCTGTGGTGGCGTCCCACATAAAGTGGAGGCAGATCGGCACAGATGTTAGCTCAGGGCCAGTCTTCCTCAGCACAAAAAGAGGAGGATTGGCATGGATGTGAGCTCAGGGCAGAAAAAAAAAGACAATAAATTATATGGTCTTCCTTAGTCCTTGAGGTAATGATTCTTGGTCTCAGGGAGCGATGATGATTGATGGACGCCCTTCAACAGACTGACCCTGACTCTCAAGTGTTAACAAGACTAGCTTCACTGTGTGAAAACTGGTCATGAGTCCCTTGTGATACTAATACAACTAGGCCAGTAATCGACTGCCTCTAAAGCAATATAATTAGAAGTTGAGAACTCTGTGACAACTTTGGTTGTTGGTGCCTTAGGTTTAAATTAGCTTCATCATTAGTCTAATATACACTCAACACAAAAAAGCACTTGAACCATAAAAATAAAAATCTACAAAGCATCTATTGACAAAGAGTATTTCTTTTTCTTTCAATCATTTGGTCACTCTGAATTTTCAATTTCCTTTTAAGTAATACACATTTAAGCAAAACATTTGTTGGGGTTTTAAAAAATAAAACTCGATCAGAAACCACTTCTACATCTTCTCTCCTCACTGGAGAAATTAAGAATCATGACACATGAGGGAGAAACTCCTTTTAAGGGTTTTACTCTGCTATCTTTAAGACGGTAAAAAAACAATAAAAGACAATCTTGGGACAACTAGGGAAATTTGAAAATGGACTGGAGATTGGGTGAGATTATGGCATTCCTATTAATTTTCTTAGATGTAATATATGGAGGAAAATGCACCTAAGCTTCAGAGATGCACACTGAAGTGCCTTGGGATGAAGTGTCATGATGTCTACATCAGCTTTCAGATGACCAGGGAAACACACACACACACACACACACACACAATAAAGACGGCAAAATGTTCACTGCTAAATCTAGGTGTGGGAAAGGGAAGGGACACAAGTACCCTGTACTCTTACTTTCCTGTTGTTTGAACTTTTTCAAAATAAAAGATCAAAATTCAAATCATAAATGATATATTAGTAGATTATTAATTTTACAAAACCACTTACTATACGGTTCATTTAAACAGCAAGTACTTGAAATAATAAATTTGTAAAATTAAATTTCCTTTCAAATAACTGTTCAGGAATTCTTATATTATCAAGTTCATTTGTATTAACATTTCCGTCTTCTCTGAGAAATTCCTTTTTGCAGCTCATCCTTTTTGACCCTCATCTTAAATGTGGCCATTTACCTAGAAATAGCCATTGCAATTAGGTCTATAGGTCTACAGAAAACAGCTTAACTCAAATAAAACTAAAATTAATGCTTGAAGAACTAGAAGCAAACAAAACTATGGAAATTCACTGCTGATGTTTTCTGTGCCAAGGCTATCCGAAAGGCGTCTATATGACCTAATTAATGCAGAAAGCCTGAGTTCAAACTCAGAAAGCTACTGAATAGCTTTCATAGTTACTCATTTCAGGCAGACAACAATCTCGACAACTCTCAAAAAAAGCTTTATCAAGCCACAGCTAAAACATTCTGGCTCATGGTGAAGATATTTAAAACTCTTCTTAGTAGCCTAGTCCATTACAAGTCCTTGGTAAACCACTTCTAATGGACAACTATTTGCTCAAAAAGGCCAAAATTTTTACTTGATTTCAGACTATGATTTTTTAAAAGTCTGTATCCAGACTATGTGTTAAAATAGCTACTTTTTAAAGAACAACAAGTAGTCTCCAAAAGCATCTCAACTAAATTCTTGAGATAAATTCCCCAAATTAATAGGACACCTAAAAAATAACTGCAAATCACAACAAACCAGTGTACTTGCCTCTCTTTCAGCTTCTTTCAGTATGGCTTCTTTCTCCTTTACTCGCTGCACAAACATCTGCTTCATTTCTTCTTCCTTCCTCTGACGTTCACCATAAAATTCATGTCTTTTGGCTTCGTAGGTCTCTTGAAGACTAAAAAGTTATTTGTGGTACTCTCAGGTTAAAGAGAGGATGTAACAAACTTGCAAGAACTCAAACATCGCCAAAGAACTCAAACATCTCCGTTTAAGCTTCAAACTATAACGTGTACCAATGTGCTCTTACAGGGAGCAACTCAAAATGTGACATTTCCTATAGCCTGATACACAAAAAGCTACCAGTGCTACAGTTAATACAGAGTACTGGAATTTCGAAATCTCTGCTTTATCAAGTCCTTCACTAGAAGTACTCTCATTTCAACCCAGACAAATTCCTCTTGCAGTCTTTGTCACTGGGCATCACTGTGTCGGGAAACCTTGAGGTCCTGAAGTCCTCTTTGACTTCCCCCTTACCCTGTCTCCATATGTGATCACCAGTTCAGCCTGTGACCTTGACATCAATGACGTCCAGTCTTCTTTTGATTTCTACAGAGATCCTGTTACAGCCCAACTTATCTTTGTGATTTTATACCTTTACTATTGCAATAATCTCCTAATTGGTCTCTGGGCTTTTTCCTCTTTCTTTCCCTTTGTTCTTCTTGCCACTCCTAAGATTTCCCACCCAAAACTATAAAAAATTAAAGTTACGTTATTTACAGAATAAAGTCTCACCTCCTTTAAATAGCACTTAAGAAACTTCACAATCTGGCCTAATTCTATGTTTTCAGACTCATTTCTTACCAAAGCCAATCCCCTTAAGGTTCCCGTCATATCAACCCATTCACTGTCCCTAAAACATGCCACACATTTCATGCTTTAGTCTGGTGTATCTCCTTTGCTTTCAAAGCCATTGCCCACTTCCCAACCCCTCATTCTACCCAGCTAATCCTCTATCCCTCAAGGCCAAATTCAAATACAATTTCCTGTATAAAGCCTTCTCCAGTCTCCCCACTTGTAACTATCCGTTCCTTCCCAGCACTTCCATGGCACTTTGTTATACCTCTTCCTTGGCATTTGTATCCTACTTGCCTCTCTTTTCTAATAGATCATGACCTTTGTAACCCGACCATCCAGCAGAGCTCTCTAGACATTTCAGTTTCTTCATAAACGTTCATTTGACGAGAGAAATTGCTGGGAAGCAGAGCCAGATTTAACCAAGCAGAGCAAGGACTGTCCTGGAACTCTATGGCCAGCTGCCCTTTCTTCTTTGTAGCTTTCAGGGGTATAATAGGCCTTCTTATACGTCAAAAATGCTGAGCCCTCCCATTTTAGTTAATTATGAGAATATCCCAAAGGTTTAAGAAGGAACACAAATCTACTTTCCAGCTGTGTCACAGTTAGAACTTTCTACTGCTTATAAAAATATTTTATATCTAAAGAGATTTAAAGTATGATAAATTAAGGAATTTTACTAATCTTAAATGTTATAACTGGATAAATAAATCTTTCAAGTACAGAATTCTGTAAGTTCAAGGAAAAACAGAGTAAGAAATGCTGCACAAAAGCTGTTAGGGCTGATATGAGGGTGTGGTATGCACAGCAGGTATTCCGAGGAAGAGCAGATTCTAAACATTATCTTCAAGAGCAAAACTTAGAAACGCACAAAATGCCCTAGATAACCACATAAATGCCTCGAATCTCAAGGAGGCATTTTACTTTTTACCAGGTTTTTTATTTTTCTGTGTTTGTTTTAGTCTTATTTTAAAGAAGCTTCTAAATCTATCAGGCTACTTTCACCCTTTTCAGAAACCTCACTACATTTCACTGGTCCTACACTCGACTGATGGCCTTTAATGACAAACTTGGTTTAAATAATGTCTTGAATTCATATCAAATGTCAGTTTAAAAAAGTTCTCATTAATCTATTTATACAAACACTTGAGTTGCTTAGGAGGAAAATAAATCTAGCCGGCAAAGAGAAAAGATCTAACATTTGTTGAATAGCTGCTACCAGCAAGGTCCTTTTCCGGACTCCTTTCACTATCTAAGTCCCACATTAACAGTGAAGAACAAGCACTGATACTCTGTTTTACAGGTAGGAAAACTAAAGCTCAGAGAGGGAAAGTAATTTGCCCAAAGTAACACAGTTGGTGAGTAAAAAGCTGGGATTTGAACCAGACCAGACTTGCTCCAAAGCCCATATTCCTAACCACCACAAACAAGACTGTCCTGAAGTCAAGTCTCTGCAAAAGATACAAAAGTGACAGACTGCTCTTGTGGAAATTCTGCCACATCACGCTGCTTTCCAATTGGACCACATCAATTTATAAAGTCAGAACTGCACATAAAGAAACCCGCACTATGTTTCAAAAGGTGGTTCTTGCTATCCTAATCCCTGTTCTAGCATAAAAGTAGCTTGCTGTCATGAATATTTAACGCTATATACTACTATAGTTGCAAATATCACTGACAACACAAAGTTGAAAACCAAAGAGGAAGAAAAAAAAAATTCTCAGATGCTGATGTTCATCAAGAAAATGACTCCAATCCCTCACTAGGCCCTCTTTGTGCTTCATGTACAGTTCTAATAAGCCTGGTGAACTTTTTCCAATTCTACTGTACACTAAATGCGGAAAGTAAATAACTATTTATTTCTTGAGAGTTAAAAGACACAAAATTTTCTGACACAAAAAACTGTCAAACACTTGAGCAACTATAAACTACTACAAAAAATCTTCCTTTCAAAACTATAGGTCCTACAACACTTCAGTGACAGTGATTTTGTACTCAAATGCACTGTGGGAACAAGACTGGTTATGTTAATCTAAAATAAGTTGGGGATTTAATAAGGCTTATGAAAGTATGTTTCATATAGTTTAAATAATTAAAGAGAAATAAAGGACATTCTAATAGGTTCACATAACTATTTTTTTTATTGATAGATATAATATTGAGGGACAGATTTTACATGCCAATCAAATTATAGTGACTATTCTTATGTACACCCCAAATTAAATGGGGGACGATTCCCCAGAGAATAGAATGCAACTTGTTAAAACTATAAAAGTAAGGGGCCAGCCCCGTGGCATAGCAGTTAAGTGCGTGCACTCTGCTGCTGGCAGCCTGGGTTTGGATCCGGGCATGCACCGACCCACCGCTTGTCAGGCCATGCTGTGGCGGCGTCCCACATAAAGTGGAGGAAGATGGGTACAGATGTTAGCCCAGAGCCAGTCTTCCTCAGCAAAAAGAGGAAGATTGGCATGGATGTTAGCTCAGGGCTGATCTTCCTCACAAAAAAAAAAACAAAACAAAACTATAAAAGTAAAACTTTTCTAAGACATCATCAGGCTAGGGAACTATAGAAGCTTTATCAAATAATTTATTCACAAATGAGAAAGCTTCCCCTATAAGAATGTAAACTCCATGAGAGCCAGGACTATGTGATCTCGTTCGGTATTACATCCCCAGAGCCTTGCAAATAGCAGACACTTTAAAAATACTTATGATTTTATATAGTATATTCACTGTTGACTCTCAAATTATCTCAGCCCTAACTTAACCTCAAGAGATTTATTTATGTAACAACCTACTCAAACTCTTCACCTGAATATTTAATCAGCAACTTACATTTAACATGTCCAAAACCTCTCAATTACCAACCACATTCCTGAAATCTGCTCCTTCCCTAGTCTTGCTCATATCAATAAACAGACCACCATTCACCTACTTTCTCAGGTCAAAAACTGGACTGACTGGAGTCATCCTGGATTCCTCTCTTTCCTTTACATCCCATACCCGAACCATCAGTGAGTCCTATTAACTTTAACTTCAAATTACATATCCTAAATATGCTCCTGACCACCTCTGCCACTACCACAACCCAAGCCTCTATCTTCTCATGCCTGGACTACTACAGTAGCCTCCTAACTGGGAGTCCTCACTTCCACTTCTGACCACCCCCATACTCTTTTGTCCTCTTAGGGCCAGAGTGTCTTCCTCCCACCCCCACCCCAGAAGCTCTACAAGGGCAGGGTCTTTGTTTAATCCCATAGTGCATACATAGCCAGTGACTAGCATGTTGCTGGGAAGATGGCAAACAAACAGTAAATATCTGCCCAATGACTGAATGGGAACTTTAATTTAAATGCAGATTCTTAGGCTCCATCCCTGGAAATTCTGAACCTGTATTTCTTAATCATCCACAGGTGGCTGATGATTGATCCACCAGGCAATCTGAATCCCTCTTCTCCGAGGACTTTAAGGCTGTCCCATTTGCTCTCACTCAGGATCCGTGTCTCATTAATGCACACAGAGACCTCTGAATTGACCCTTGGACTTGAAAGAATGAGAAGCAAAGCCTCCTCTGGGAAACACTAGAGAAGCCAAGTCTAGATAATTATTTTCTTTTTGTGAGGAAGATCAACCCTGAGCTAACATCCGTGCTAATTCTCCTCTTTTTGCTGAGGAAGACCGGCTCTGAGCTAACATCTATTGCCAATCCTCCTCCTTTTTTTTTCCCCCAAAGCCCCAGTAGATAGTTGTGTGTCATAGTTGCACATGCTTCTAGTTGATGTGTGTGGGATGCGGCCTCAGCATGGCCGGAGAAGCGGTGTGTCAGTGCGCGCCCGGGATCCAAACCTGGGCCGCCAGGAGCGGAGCGCGCGCACTTAACCGCAAAGCCACGGGGCTGGCCCTAGATAATTTATTTTCAAGAGAGAAAATAATCCTTTTACCAGAACTGGCCCATTACTGGAAGCATAGCATGCCTGAGATTGGTGAGGAGGGGTTAAGTACATATAATTCTTAAATTTATTATGCTACTAGAGCTAAAACACTAACTAAATACACAGATTGAAACAATTTAACCTCATCTATTATTAAATCTTCCCAAAGGTCACAAGCAAGAGCAGCACTGATTTAATGTTCTCCTTCTCTTTCCTTTTGTATTTATTCTGGTGCAAATACTAACAGCCAGGAAAATGACTGAAATGCAAATAATGGAATGGAAAAGGAATCCCTAGTCTCATAACAGAGTTTATAATAGTGTTTGTCCTAGGGATCTCATGCTTTCCTCCTTGCAAAAGTTGTTCTGGAATGTTCCATCAAATCAAATTTGATTTAGTACATTAAGGATTAAAGTTTCATGTTTACATATCTCAATCAAAATAAACTCAGGAATGTACTAGCATATAAAATTACCAAGCAAGTTTATAATAACATTTAGTGCTTTAATCACTGGGCAAGAAGGTCATCAAGTTCTAAAATTCTTGTAACTAATATAATATTTTGAGAAACAGTCTAATCTCTGACTCCCTACAAGCACTTTCATTCTTCCTTCACAAGATATTTTCCCAAGTTTAAGTCATTCCAAAACTTTCATCAGGATAAAAACCAACTGTTTTTTAGTTTATATAATTCACATTCCAATCTTCTTTTATAATAATAGATACTTTTATCTTTTTCAGATAAATACAAAAATAAAACCAGATGAGAGTTTTTCCTTTAGTTATTTATTTCAGCATACACTGAAATATGGGCTTTTGCCATATCTTCTTTCTTCTACTTAACTCCTCGAGTCAGATGAGGACTTAGAGACCCTTCAAAACCAAAAACATTTCAAGTGATTTAAGAAGCACAATAATTAATGATTATCAAATGATTCTACTTCAGGTTTGGGAGATTTCTGGAAAACACATTCTCCATCATCCTGGATATATAAAAAGGTACAATCCTCTCTAACTTCTTTGGTTGGCTTCTCAGAGAAATCCCCACTTACCTGAGTGGCTTATTCTCTGGGCCCACATCTGTAAAGCCCATTTCCTCCAGTTTGCAACGCCTGTAAAGTTCATAGTGCCTTGTGTGGGTCTGTTCTCGCAGATCCTCCATGTTTGTACAAATGAGCATTTCCCGGAGCTTTACAAAGTCACAATGGTTTTCATTTTCCACTAGCCAGAAAAACAAGAAAACAGCAACACCAAGTTGTAATTCCTGACACACAATTAGTATGAATAAATGAACAAATGAAAACACATCTGAAATAACAAAACAGCAAAATGATCAGTCTGATTAATAGCTACGATTGTTTTATACAAGTAACCAAGGAAGAAACTCTTGCATTATATACACTGAATTATAGGCAATGTTAATTAACAGACTGGGAGATTTGCTTTAAATTTAGTAGCCATGGATAAACAGGAAATAGGAAAGAAATATGTTATATTATGTTACCATATGTTCCAGTTATTTCACTAATATTCTGTTAGCAGTTTACAAACCATCCTCAGGACATTTCACACAGTACTTAAAAAGAGTATATAACATTATTTCACTAAAATTTCAAAGTAGTAAATTCTACATATTCAAGAATACCATCTGATGCTATAATTATCAAATTCTTTTTATACAATGCCACATTTATGATCCTGTTAGACACTATTCAAAATTAGTGAATAAACTTACATGGTCCTCCTTCTATGTTTAGAGTGACCAGATGACTACAAATAAGTATGTTATTGTGACCAACAGTTTTAAGTATAATTATTATTTTTACATTTTTATACATTAAATGTTAAGTGTTGTCAATATTTTTCATTAATTACAAAATTTGTCAATTTAAGGAAAGCAGCATTGGGAAACCAGTACTAGTAGGGATAATCCATCCCCCATTAATTAGCATCACAAGTAAATACACCAGATAGTACTAATTACTTACTCATTATAATGTTAGATAAATCCTAAAATTTTTTCATTGGCTGACTAGTTTGTTCTGGAAATAGTTGGCAATATTTTGATGAGTGAAAATATACAAACTTACAAGATGAGTTATTGTGCCCTAGAATTACCTAGTAATTAGTTTATGCATCATGCTGAAACACCACCATTTACACTCAAATTTTGTTTAAAGGATCCAATCTTCCCATCTTCGAAATGCCTTGGTGCACCTGGGCAGGCAATGTGTGTGGTATAATGCAGAAAGTGAGGAGGCTCTGCCTGGCCTCTACACAGCCAACTCGTCTGACAACCAATCATAATCCAAAATAAGCATCACCCCAAAGAATGCACTATATGCATCTTTCAGACTATTAGGCGACCTACCTATTTCTAGTTATTGTTTACCTCATTTACCTTGTACAACACCCCAAGGGTACTGGCGAGCTTTGACCATCTTATTTCCAACTTTTACCTCATCCATACTTCCTACCACAGCAAACGGCAAATGTCCCTGGAAAGGAACCATGATATCAATCACATCTCACACCAATGTGATAAATGCCTACCTAAAAAGTTTTATGAAAATAACAGAGAAGAGAAAATTTATTAAATAACAGATTTGTTAAAATCAGATGATCTTCTATGTCTCAGATTTTAAAACCTGGCAGTGAATATGTGCCAACTATTCTACAAGAGTCATTTCCAGGCCCTACAAAGAAAATTATTTACCGAGCATACCCCACATGCAAGGCATTATGCTACAGGAATACAAAAAAAGAAAGAATTCCAGTATAGGTATCATTTCCTTCAATATTATCTTTACCCTAAAAGACAAAGATAATGTTGAGGAAAGATACACACACATACACACACACACACACTATATAACTAAAGTATATATTTAGTGCGTGTATAGATATATGATACTAATACAAGGTAACATTTAAGTCCCAAACTAATGCTAAATACAGTAAATGTTATAGAAATTTAGAGGAATGAGATCACTGTGAGCAGAAAGATACCACCCAAACTGGAGATGAATCAAACAGAGTGGGAAGAACTAGCCTACGTAAGGAGAAGATTCAGAACAAAGATACAATAGCTAGATTTAGGGGCAGTGAGTAGACTGGCCTGTCTGAAGTTGTGGATTAACACAGGTGAAAAGTCTAATGTAAAAAGTATTATGTTTAATATTTAATAATTGACATTAATCTCTTAATTGTGCCTTTCTAAAAAATTATTCCAGGTGGGCACAAGAAATAAAATTAGATCTAAAGACAATTTAACACATAAGAATTAAGATCAACTCATTTACCTTAGTCAGCTTTTTATATATTTAGTTTAAGTATCTTAATATAAACGGAGCATGAAAAATCAGAAAAGGAAAAAAGGAAAACTGGAAGGAATAGTTATTGAATGTCACTGTGTTAGGTGGTGAACAAAGGCTGTATCCTCACAACAACTCTTAAGATAGGTAACCCAACCACGTAGATAAGTTAACAGTCTCAGGGAGGTTAGTAACTCCCACAAGAACATATGGTGAAGTCTGTCTGACTCCAAAACCCATGATCCTTCAAAATATAACCAAATATTTAAGAAATCTGGTAGCCTGAAGAAAGTAACACAAAGAACTTAGTCATCTTCCATTTTATTAAACTAAAAGTTATGTGAATGTTTACTATGTACATGTGACACCGTATGGGAGAATGAGCTTAAATACCAGATTAAAAAGATCTCCTTAAAGATTTTAAGATTCTAAAGCAGTCTAAGGGAGGCTATAACGTCTTCTCATGTTTTTAAAGACAGGATAGAAAGGCTAAGGCAATTAAGTATGGTTCCACAAAAGGTGATTCCCAATCTCACAAATGTATCACTTTAGGTGAGAGTAGGGAGAAAAGAAAATACGCTCAAAAATATATTCTTATTATACTTTTTTCCAACTCTAGAAAACAAAACATTTTCCTACCCTGGACTTTTTGAAAATTTATCTTGTTCGAAGTCTTTTTGGAAGACATAAGTAAAAATGTTACTCAGTAGCAATGTTACTTATTAATTTTTCTTTCACATGTAAACCAGAAATATTCAATTAGGATCTTACATTCATTGAGGCATTGATTTTAGCAATAGTTTCATCATCTGTTGGGAACTGGTATATCTGGACACCATTGCTGACCAATTCACTCATGAGCTTGATCTTAAACTTCTGTAATTCAGTTTTAGAAACTGCATCTGCTTTGGCAATCACTGGTATAATGTTCACCTATTAAGAATAAAGAAAAACAAAATCTCATAATCGAGGACTTGTTTTTTAATACTGTAGTTTTTACATTCAAAACCACTCAGTGTCTGACAAGTTTCCTTAACCTAGATCAGGGGATGGGCAGACTACAGTCCAGTTCACTGCCTGTTTACATAAATAAATATTTATTGGAACATAGCTAGGCCCATTCATTTACATATTCTCTATTGCCACTTACATTCTACAACAGCAGAAATGAGTAGTTACATCAGAGACCTAAAGTACTTACTACCTGGCTCTTCAGAGAAAAAGCTTGCCGACTCTTGACCTAGATAATCACTGGGTGTCATTCTTACCTATACCCCTATCTAATCATTCCTACAGATGCTGGCCCTACAATAACTGCCTTTAAAAAGCAGAGCTCTCGGGCCACCCTGGTGGCCCTAGTGGTTAAGTTCGGTGTACTCTGTTTCAGCGGCCCAGGTTCAGTTCCCGGGTGTGGGCCTATACCACTCGTCTATCAGTGGCCATGCTGTGAGGGCAGCTCACGTACAAAATAGAGGAGGACTGGCAACAGATGTTAGCTCAGGGTGAATCTTCTTCAGCAAAAAAAGAAAAAGCAGAGCTCTTATAACATTAATCTTTCATCTGAATTTAGGTTTAGAAATCTCACATTTTCTTCTCTCCTCTCAAAGTTTTTTATAATTCTATCACATACAAAATAAGTAAAATGTAAGCAATAAGCTGAAATCGCCTACTTAATTCACTAACAATTTTTTATTTCTTAATAATCTAAGCACTAAGTAATTAGGGTGATTGATCGCTCAGCAAGACTATGAAACAGGTGAAGTTTCTCCTGCTTCTCATGTCAGCAAGTCCCCTTTTCCCAGTGACTCTATCTGATCTGGGCCCCATTGTCAGAGACTCTTACCTAGATGTCAAAGGAAGGAAATTTTATGAATACCAACTAAAAGTGTTCAAGACTCAAAAGAATAACTTTCTCAGTATCATTTAAAGTCCTATCTCTGGCCAGAGAGGGAGGGATTTGGGGTCATGATGACCTACTAACTGGTAAAGCTAGTTCTACAAGACTAATGTCTCCACAAAAGACTGGTATCTCCGCAAATTCAAGGGTTTATAGGTTTTTTGTTCTTTGATTATTTATTTAGTTCGTTTTTAGTGGAAAACTTCAGGCTATCCAGTCGTGTGTTGAGAGAGAGATACCAACATAATTTTCAGAATGAAAGTGAAAAGCAAAAATCATAATTCCTATTCTATTCTTAAATTTCTTTCTCAATTTCACACTGATTTACTATGTATATTTGGATTTATTAGTCTTAAGTATGCCCCAAAGGAGATAAAGATTTTTCCAACTATCCATGAAATAAATGGCAGAAACCTTTCCAACAATTGTGGGTAGAAAGCTTTCATGTTAAATTAGTCAAAGCACATAAAAATTTGATGCCAATTTCTTGGTTTCAATATTATATACTAAGATATTCCATAAATTATGCCAAATTAATAACTGATAATTGCTTCCACAACAAATAGCAGAAGCAGGCTATAATGTAAGTGCCTGATATTAAGCTTTTTGATTGTAATGAAAGCACCTGACATTAAGCTTTTGATTGCTGAGGTATTCATTTCAAAGACATCCTTCTTGAATAAACATATTGCCAGCTGTATGACACAGCTATTAGCAAACCAACTGGATAAGAAACCCTGACGTCCCCACCCATGAAGTCCCCCTCTTAGAAAGCCTGGAGACCTAGACAACTGACTGCTTGAGTGTTTCCATTTCTCCCTTCCCATGCCTGAATTCCCGCTCTTATGCTGTAAATTCGCCAATAAACAGTGAACTTGCGAAAGCCTAGACACCTCACTCTCAGACCCTAATAAAGGCAGAGCTTAGCTTCGCACTCACCCCCACCCCACTTTCCACCTCACTGTGTGTGCTGTGTACCCTCCAGGATCTGTGAGTAACAAATTTTGTCCTTCAAAGTAAAGTTCCCCGATGGTTTCTTGCTGAAGTCCGACCAGAGATCGTAATAAGAACCACAAAGGGGGCGGGCCCGGTGGCGTAGTGGTTAAGTTCGCACGCTCTGCTTTGGTGGCCTGGGTTTGCGGGTTCGGATCCTGGGCATGGACCTACACCACTCATCAAGCCATGCTGTGGCAGCGACCCACATACAAAATAGAGGAAGACTGGCACAGATGTTACCTCAGGGCCACTCTTCCTCAAGCAAAAAGAGGAAGATTGGCAAGAGGTGTTAGCTCAGGGCCAATCTTCCTCACCAAAAAAAAAATAACCACAAAGGCTGGCTGAGCCCAGATGTTGGCCCTGGTGGTGGTGCGGAAATGCCTGTGGGGCTCACTATGAGTAAATACAGTCAGGGAATACCTCCGGCTTTCCTAGCCAAGAACATCACTATCACTAGGCTGGGAGGACACAACTAGACTGCTGAACACAGTGTCATCTGTAATATCAAGGGAGGGAAAACAACAGATGTTTCCCACTGATGATAACCCGTCACTATTTGCATAAGATAAGGTAACTTTCCAGGTTAAGCAGTGGAGTGCTCCGCTTTTAGGAACAACACAAACTATCAATTCAATTAATCCTCACATCTGCCCCCTGAAGTAGGTATTCTCCCTAGTTTTTATTTTAGAGGTAAGGAAACTGAGGCTCAGAGGGCTAAAGAAATGCTCAAGAACACATAGCTATTAAGCGACAGAGCCAGCATTTAAAACCAGCCTCTACTGACATCAAATTCGATGATCTTTATACAAACTACATCATCTTGCTTCTGTCTAGCTAAAACAAAGTTGCACACTCTTGTTTTTATGTTCCTTTAATAAATCTGAATTTCCATATAATCAGACTCAACTAAGAAAATAACTGGCTAAATGATTAGAATATCTGATGAGATGAACAGACTACCATATAAGCTTCACCAACTTTTTGCTAAAGCCAGGGGACTGTGCAACTCATCAAAAGTCACTCAATCTGTGCACCAAGACTTCACCAGCAGGCCTTCATGCTTTTCCATACCATTTTCTATATAGAAAGTCGTAGTAGTCAGAATGCCCTTGCTTTCTGAATCCTATCTCATAAAATAACTAGCCAGGATAATGAAAGCTGCATTTCTCACACCATCAGAGATTATAAGAAAACTCTGGAGATTTTTTTTTTTAGTATAAGATAGTAGTCCTTAAAGATCTTTTAAACAAATAAAAAAGTCTGAAGTGAGTTAATTTGTGGATAATATCTTTTTACAGCTCCCTAAATTTACATATTGCTAAAAAATTCAAAAGCAGGTTTTCTTGATATGGTTCAAATTAAAATATAATTTATTATAACATAGGATGAAACATTAGACCTTAATCTTTGTCAATGAACTCTGTCTCACTTAATAGTGTCATAAAGTAAAGTTAATGTCAAATAAATTCTATATTTTAAAAAAATGTAAATGAATACCCATATTCTGGCATGCAATTTAATCACAATAATTTTATGTTAATGTTTTTTTCTTTGCATCTCATCTTCCAAACTGAATATCTATGGAAAATAACCTAAGATTGAAGCTTATAAAAAGTGTTTTAAAAATGCACAGAGTAAAACAGTTATGATATATATATCATAAAGATATTTTAATAGTTCAAAATAAATATTAAAGCATGATAAGTTGATTTCTTTTCCAAACCCACTTTGCTGTCAAGGCTCTTCATGGTTAAGAGATCAAGTGTCTTCAGAGAGTGGCCTGTTGGTGAGATGAAGTAGAGGCACACATGGATACGAGAGTCATGGTAGTTAAAGAGAGAACGCTTAATCTTCAGTTCTTCTTGGAGATAGGCCTCAAACTGAGCATCTATGTAGTCAACTACTGGTTGGTAGCTGAAAAAATAATTATTTAAATATTTAATATAATATATTCATGCCACCTTAATAAGATATTTGTGTAACTCTCAAGTTGGAGATCTGTATTTTCACCAGTCAACAGAAAGTTAATATCTATGCTAAACAGCTAAGTTTAATAATAAAACAAATTGTGCAGAACATGCATGTACAAAGGTAGTACTTTAAAACCATCAGGACAACCTGTGCTTTAAATTGCTTTATAGAAATGAGATTGAATTTACATTGATTTATTCTCACATTCATTCATCCACTGGATCCCTTCCTGACAAAGGTTCTCACACCTGCCAGACTCCTGAATGAGGCTAGGCATCTAACTACACATGGCATATTATTTAACTGAGAAAAGCCATGAGTATCAATAACTTAAAAGCTATTTAAGTCACATTCTACGACTTCTTGCTTCTTAAATCAGATTCGTCAGGCATGAAAAGCATTAACATAGTAAGGAAGGAAGGGCACACATCAAAGGAAAGTATCTCACTAGGACTGTAGGCCTGGTTTTATTCTCATTTCACTATAAACAGTGGAAAGGCACATCACATTCCATGCTCTGATCACTTTTCCCTGGCATGCTTTCTTCCCTTTAGCTGTTACAGTCTACTCATTCTTCAATATACAAATCATATCACAGTGCATGTGCAGAGCACTGTGCTCATGTGGTTTCAAGATTAGTCTATGAATGCTCCACTTCATTTGTTTTTTGTGTGCGTGTGGAAGATCAGCCCTGCACTAACATCTGCCAATCCTCCTCTTTTTTTTGCTGAGGAAGACTGGTCCTGGGCTAACATCCGTGCCCATTCTCCTCCACTTTATATGGGATGCCGCCAGAGCATGGCTTGCCAAGCAGTGCATCGGTGTGCGCCCAGGATCCGAACCAGCAAACCCCGGGCCGCCGCAGCTGAGCGTGCGCACTTAACCGCTTGCGCCACCAGGCCGGCCCCTCCACTTCATTTTAATGTGCTAAAGCACTGCCTATGCAACTCAACTTTCTACTCTTAACTATTCTCATTAAGCAAATCTGGGTTTCCATGTGAAAATAACAGCAAACAGTTCCTCTGTCAAATTCCCTGGACACATTTATAAGTATCTTTGTAGCCCCTGAATGGAGCAGTACCTTGTGCGGCTGAGGTACTCAAAAAATGTGTACAGAACTGAGCTCTTCCATAAAGCTGCCTGACTCTTCTTGTTCCTTGAGGAACATCACTTCTTTTAAACTCATAGAATCCTTGTTCTCCCCATGGAGATGGTAAGCAATGTGAGGACAGAGACAGTATCTTACATTTCTGTGTTCTCCACCACATCTAGCATAATACCTTGAACATGATCAGATGGACTATTAGGAACACCAGTGTTCACTATTAGGAACACCATCCTTGGGAAGCTGTCTGAATGTGACCCAACATGATTCCCTCCCCAAAATAATAAAATGGTAAAAATTAATCTGTAAGTACATACTTAACATAAAAATTCCAAAGAAGCTTTTATTAATGATTTAAAATGGCTCAGTAATATGACCTAAATAAATAGCCAGAAATGTTCCTCTATCTGAAGGCTTTGCATTATGCTTGTCATAAATGAAAACCATAAACATTTTCTGCTAAATAAGTAATATGCCATTAGGAATTCTTCCACAGAAATTTGCCCTATGTTTCCATTCCCACTAAACTGCAGACTCAGTCTTTCAATGAAATGAAAGACACTGGCTTAAAATATAAAAATCACCTCCTTAAAAACATAAAAGTACTCTAAAGCAGTAAGGAACTAACCAGGTCAAATTTGAAGAGAGAGTAGAAACTGAGAGAGCTAAGTAGAGGATTAGAGCAGGAATCAGTAAATGGGCCAAATCCAGGCTAATGCCTGTTTTTGTAATTAAGGTTCTACTGAAAACAGTCACGTTCATTTGTTTATGCATTGTCTACGGCTGCTTTCTGCTACAATGGCAGAGTTGAGCAGTTTGGACAGAGACGATATGTCCTGCAAAGCTTGAAATATTTACTCTCTGGCAGTTTACAGAAAAATTTTACTAACTCTGCACTAAAAGCATCAATGATAGTTTCATTCTGAGGCCATGTGTCAATTCAGTTCTTGGGCTTTGCTCCTAAAGGACTCACAGGACAGGAAAGAAGAAATCAAAGGCCAGGGCTCACATAAGGTGGAAATCTATTGAGAGGCTGCGTCCCCACAATGAGTGACACTCTAAAAGCTTACACCTCTAGGGTAAGAATGAACTAGAAGTAAACCTACAATTCCTCCCCTCTCCCCAAGAATCTGTAGGGAAGCACTAAATGAAGCATGGAAAATAAAAAGAAAAGAAGAAAACAATCCCATCCTTGAGAACTTGTGGCCCCACAGTCAGCTCTTACACATAACTGCAGCCCAGGTTCATACTGCATCTTTGATTCTGGGAGCCACAAGCCACGAAATAGGCTTAGGGATCCTCAGAGTATTAATGTCCAAGGGGCTGAACATAAGCAAATCCAAATCTGTTCAAAGGAAGACATCTTCATCTTAGACCTTAAAGTATCTCTACAAATCATTTGTCAAAGACCATGAGAACTACGATAAAAATAACCAGGCACATAAGAAAAGAAAAAGCACAGTGAAGGAGAACCCAGGAACAAACAGATATCAGAAAAAATAATTGCAAAATTTTAATATACTGGAATTATAAGCTATAATTACAATAGAGACAAAAGAAATAAAAATAAAAGACAAACTTGAATATATTGTGCTGGGAATAGTAAAATAGTAAGAAGTGATCCTACAGATATGAATATGAACCACACAGAATGTACAGACTTGAAAAACATAATAACCAAAATGGAAAACTCAATGGATTAGTTTAACAGTATATAAGATAAAGCTGAAGAGAGAATTTGTATACTAGAAGATACATCAAAAATAATTACCCGGAAAGCAATAGAGAGAAAAAAAGATAAAAATATGGAAGAGAGGTTAAGAGTAAGAGACATGGAAGACATAATGAGAAGGTCTAACATACATTTCATCAATGTTTCAGAGGGAAAGGAGATAGAAAAAGGGGCAGAAGCAATATTGAAAGTGACAATGTCTCAGATTTTTTTAAAGAATTGATGACACTATTCAGACTCAAGAAGTCAAAGAAATCACAAGCAGGATAAATTAGAAATTAAAAAAAAAACCCCATATATGTTATGGGAAAACTGGAGAAAAACAAAAACAAAGATCTTAAAAGCACTGGAGGAAAAAAGGAAAGTATTCTGAAGGAGAAGATAGACTGACAGATGACGTCTCAACAATAAAAACACAAGCCAGGAGACAGTGGAATGGCATCTTTGATGGGAAAAAAGAAAATTATTGCCCACCCTGAATTGCAGACCCAAATAAAATTTCAAGTATGAGAGCAAAACAGAAATTTTTGGTTAAGAGGGTAATAAATATTGGCCACATAAAGTAATAATAATAATGTCTTGTGTGGTTAAAAAAGAGAGATAAAACATATCACAGGGTAAGTCAGAAGATGGGGGTTAATGGAGTTTAAGTATTCAAAATTTCATTTTATTGTCTATTTGTATCATCAGGGAAAAGTACAAATATTAATTCATCTTAAACTTTGATTAGGTTAGAGATTATATTTTATAATTTCTAGGGTAACAACTACAAGAAGAGAAATCAAGCAAGAAAGGAAAAAGAAATGTGGAACTGGCAGGACAAAAAGAAAATGGAAAATAAGATGATGAGTTTAAACCTAAATATATCAGTAACTACATTAACTAAATGTGAATGAACTAAATGCATAATTAAAAGATAAGCATTGTCAAAGTAGATTTTAAAAAAGCAAACAATATGCTCAATAAGAAACATATCTAAAGCACCAGTGTACAGAAAGCTTGAAAGTAAAGGGGTAGGAAAAAATACACCATACATAAGCAAGCTGATGCACCTATACTCAAATCTGCAACATAGACTTTAACACAAGAAGCATTCCAAGAGAAGAAAAGGCCACTACATAATAAAAAGTTTTGACTCTTCAGGATCAAATAAAAGTAGAAATCAAAAATTAATTTAAATGGGCAATACTATATATTAAAATTTGTGGGATGCAGTTAAACCTATACTTAGAGGGTAATTTATAATCTTAAATGCATAAGGCTGAGAATCAATGGGAAATTAGAGCAAATTAGATCAAAACCCAAAGACAAGTAATTACAGATATAAAAGCAGAAATTAATGAAATGAGAAAACAAAAAGTATAAAATTGAGAGGATCAATAAAACCCAAATTTGAAAAGACCAAAAAAACTGACAACACTTTGCCGAGCCTGATCAAGGAGACAAGAAAACAAGCACAAAAAACGAGTATCAGGACAGGAAATGCAGGTATCATTACAGATGATGTAGACAATAAAAAGATATTAGGAGTAATCTGTCAATATTCTTAAGTAAATCTATTTGAAAATTTGGATGAAATGGACAGATTCCTGGAAAATTGTAGCTTATCACAACTGTCTCAAAACACAACTCTAAACTGTCATGTAATCATTAAAGAAAACTTATTAGTAACTCAAAATCTTCTCAGAAAACTCCAGGCCCAGACGGTTTTATTGGTGAGTTCCACCAATCATTCCAAGGAAAAATTAACTTATACAAATTTTTCCAGAAAATCGAGTGAAAAAGTCCCAAAACTCATTTTAGAAGGCTAATATAACCTTGATAGAAAAAAGAGAGAGACAGGATAAGAGGAAAATGCAGGTTGAAAACCTCACTTATAAAACATAAGATGCAAAAATACTAAAAGAAAAAAAAAATCAAATATAGCACAATGTAAAAAGAATACCAAATGGTATCCAAGATTGCAAGGTTAATTCACCAAGAGAAAATCAGTTACTGTACCTCACCTTATTAAAGGAGAGAAATTACAATCTTCTCCACAGAATGCAAAAAAGAAAATCTGATAATAATATCTATTCATGATTTTAAAAAAACAAGTCTTACTAGTAATATAAAGTAACTTGCTTAATTCTAACTTAAAAAAAAAAAAAAAAGAAGGCAGCATAATACATGGTAAAAAATAAAGCTTTCCCTTTGGAGTCAGGACCAGGCAAGGATGCCCACTATCACCAGTGACCATCCAACAAAATATTCTAAGTCCTACCCAGTGCAGTCAGGTATTAAAAATGAAAGAAAGAAAAATAAAGACTACTGTCTTCAGCCATGATGGGGTAACTGGGATTGGATTTACCCTCCCACTTTAAACAACTAGAAACTTGGACAAAATATATGAAAAAAGGTTTTCAGGCATTGAGCAACAGGCATTATAGAACTGTGATCACTGAGAAGAGAAATGAACGAGTGGAGCTCTCCAGTCTCCTGAGCATACGCCAGGAGACCAGCCCCCAAGGCACAGCACAAGACAGCGCAGACCTGGCAGACCCGCCGAGTGGGGAAATGCAGACAGGAGTTCAGGGAGGCCAAAGCAACAGAATGTGCAGGAGAGAACCCTGGAGAGAAGGGAGCTGCACTCACATAAAGTGCTCAAGATCTGGAGGGAGTGAAGCACTCATCTGTGTACACACATGGTGAGGAAAGTGCCCAAGGCTGTGGACATTTCCTACATTATAGTCGGGCTGGTGGGTACAACACTGTACATTTGTCAAAATTAATTGAACTGTATACTTAAAAAAAAAAATCAGTGCATTTTATTTATATAATGTAAATTATACAGCAATAAAACATTTAAAAAGAAAACAAAAGAACTGAAAAGGAAGAAATACAAATGTCATTATTTGCTGGCTATACTATTACATATATAGAAAATCTAAACAAATTTAGAGATGAATTGTTGAAATTAATCAGAGAATTTACAAAAATTGCTATCTGCAAAATCAAATTTCCATACACCAAAGAGAAAATGAAATATTTTTAAAAGATACCATTTATGAGAGCATCAAAATTGCGAAGTATCTAAGAATAAATTTATGCAAAGCTATATAGATCTCTATATAGAAAATTATAAAAAAATTAATAAGATTCAAAGCAACCTGTCACAGGTCTTTGCCTCTGCCACTAATCTGCTTCTTCCAGAAAGCCACACAAATCATTTCTTGAAATTTAAAGCAGAACACACAAATGTGCTGAAAAGGCTAATGTAAGTCACATAAAGAGAATCATTATGCAAAATATTTTCCCTCTAAAGCAAACTTTAGGAAACTAGGAAATTACCTCTACCAATGAAAATATATACATTTCAAAAAGAAAAAAGAACAAAAAGTTATTGCTTTACTCCAATCTACTTCTCTTTTTCATATTTTAAATTTCATGTAAAATCTATAATCAATCTTTACAATACCATAGGAGAAATAATGACATGAAATATAAATAAAAATTTTATCATCAAACTTTTCTTGCAATGCTTAATAATGCACCTGGTTGATTTGGCTAGAATTTCACAAAAAAATTCATGCACCAATGATCTGGCCATTGTATGTTTGCCACTGTATGTCTGTCTCTCTTTTTTTTTCCTTAACAAGATAAGTCCTCCTAAAACTTAGTACAAATCATTTAATATACACTGAATTAGCATACCAGGAAATAATTAAAAACATTTTTGCTGAAATACACATTTTAATAATGTGATTCAAATTATTCTAAAGAAATCAGACAACTGGATAGAAAAATGTCAATTAGAACAAAATATTGCTTAATTATTAAAAAAATTAATGTCTGAGAGGACAGAAATAGATTTCCAGAGCAGAAAATCAAATCATAGCTTATGTGGCAAGATGGCAAATGTCTTGAAATAAGAAAAATTTGTTTTTTTACAAGAAGAAAACACGTACCTCTCTTCTTTGTTTATTTGGTCACCAAATCCCACTGTATTCACAATGGTCAATTTTAATCGAACATTACTTTCCTGGAGTTCATATGTCTGAGCTTTAAGTTTAACATGTGGGTAAAAATGTGAGGATTCATGGTCTTCAAAATTAGTATTAAACAATGTATCAATCAACGTTGATTTTCCAATTCCAGTCTCCCCTGAAAGAAACAAACATACATCTTCACAGGTGCACAGGACAGACGAGAAAAAATAGAAGTGTAAACTCTTAGTGGTTTCAAGGATCCCAAATATTTCAAAGGTTGGATTGGTCATGAAAGAAATACATGCTAAGGCTGGCCTACTGAGTCATTTGCAGAGCATGAAAATGAGCAGGTATGCTAAGTAACTCACAACTCTGAAGAAAGCACTGAAATATTTAAAGAACAAACAAAAAGTTTAAAGCAGTACAGCTAAGAAAAACAAAACTGATAGAATTTAACTAACTGAACAAAATCTGTGATCATGATCTCAAATTGATAACATGAACATCATGCTGGTTATGACAAGAATGAATTGAGCACAAGAAATATGAAGGAAGAATTTAAAGGAAGAGTTTGGCACTTACCCACACAGAGAATATTAAAACAGAAGCCTTGCTGAACGGATCTATTGACCAGCTGATCAGGCAAACTCTCAAAACCAACATGGCCAGACATAGTTAAAGAACGAATATTTTCTCTTTTTTGCTGAAGGAAAACAAAAACAACAGGGACAATGAAGAAAAGTTTTACTAAAATAGGACTAGGCACATTTGAAAGCTTAAATATAATTTATCAAAGAAACTAAAGATTTTATGATCATTACACCTCCTTTAAGAAACAAATGATTAAGTAAATTTGTGTCCAGACTCTCAAAACACGTATTTCTTATTCTCTTCATATGATGAGAGTCCAGCACTATTAATAACAGTAAAATATTTGATTCCTAAAAATAGGGAAATAGTCAAGTAAACTATGGTGTATTTATTCACAAAATGGAATGTTTAAAGTCATTAAAGATGTTTACAATAAATTTTTAACAACTTAAATTCTTACATTAAAATGTCAAGTGAAAAAAGTATAATACAAAATTATAGATACAGTTCCAGCTCCTAGTAATAGCAGAGTAACTTATGTCACACTTCCCTGCTAATAAATATTATAATCAATTCTTTCAAGGCACTGGAATGCAATCAAAGGCAGAAAGACACTGGAGGGAATGAGACACGAGAGAAGGAGACCATGTAAGGCGAGAGGCAGATTTTCTAGCTCTTCCCCGAGGGCACTCCAGTCATTGCTGCACAAAGAAGATAAAGCTCAAGATGGAAGTGGTAGTCTTACTGGGTTGAGAAGTCAGTTGGAAATAAGGGCAGGCAGATCAACTAAAAACTGAAGAAAACTCCAGAAAGGAGAGAGTACAAAATCTGCAAACACACTCCCCTCAAATCTTTGGCTGACTGCTGAACTGCACATGTACTGGGGGGAATACAAAAAGCCTAACAGGGAGGAAATGGGAATTGGAAGGAGCTATGTAGACTTTTCAGGAGTGCCATCCTAGGGAGCTTGAATTTTAAGTCTGTAAGTTAAAGGGGCTTTGTAAACACTTCAGGCATTCCCCTGAAAACATATGGGCCACATTTTAGGAGTAAGGATCACATCTCAGGAATCAGAAATGCTCCCTAGTACTGAAGGCACCATTGAAATAGACCTGCCCTAACAAAACCTATACCCAAGACTCAACACGATCAGTGTCACCAGCCAGTAATTTAACTGCCAGCTAGAACAAAGGTCAACACTCTTTGGAAGAAGAAAACAGAATCTAGCACCTCTACAATGCAGCATCCACAATATCTACTCTATAATAAAAAATTATTACAGAGGAAGAAGCAGAAAAATGTGATTCATAATCAAGGGGGAAAAAAACAAACAGTCGAGAGAAAGAGATCTGCAAATGAACCAGATGTTGCATTTACTGATAAGAACTTTAAAATAACTATGATAAATATGCTAAAGGAGAAAAATATGCTCTTTTTCTACAGGAAAAAGTGGTGACATGACAGGGAATTATAAGAGAGATATGAAAGCTCTCAACAACAACAACAAAAGGCAACAAATGGAATTTCTAGAATGGAAAAAATGCAACATCTGAAATAAAAAAGTTACTGGATAGTATTAAGAGCAGATCAAACAAAAGAAGATTTATTCCATAATTATTATCCAAGGTAAATATCTTTATCCAAGCTAAAAATCTCTTATAGGACAGATAAAACTACAACAGAGCCTCAAAAAACTGTGGAAAAGTATCAAATGGCCTAACATACCTATAATTGAAATATCAGATGGTAAAGAGGGGCGGTAGCAGAGGGAGGGAGAAAAGAAATAGCTAAGTAATAGTGACTGAAAATTTTCCAATTTTCTAAACATGAACTCAGAGATCCAAGAATTTCAGCAAACAGGAAAAATCCAAAGGAACCCACAACTAGGCACATCAGAGCAAACTGTTTAAAACAAAGATAAAGAAAAACCTTACAAGCAACTAGATGTGGGGAGACATATCACACACAAGTAAAATGTATAAAATGACCACAGGTTTCTCATAAGAAACAACACAAACCAGAAGACAACAGAACAACATCTATAAGATGCCAAAAGAAAAAAAAATGACAATCTAGAATTCTATATCCAGTGAAAATATTCTTTTACAAATGAAGGCAGAATGAATACATCTTCAGACAAACAAAATCTGAGAAAATTCATTGCAAGCAGACCCACACTACAAGAAATGTTAAAAGTTCTTCAAGAGAAAAGAAAATGACAGATGGAAATTCATATCTACAAAAAGGAATGAATATTGAAAGATAAAAATGTGGGTTATTTTAAGAAATTTTTTTGCTTCTTGTAATTTCTTGAAAATATAATTGTTTAAAGCAACAACAACAATGTATTACAGGATTTATAAAAATGGATAAGTAGAATGTATGAGAATCACAGTACAAAAGATGGGAGAAGGAATGGAGATACATTGTTGTAAGGTTTCTGTATTATTCTGTATTATATGTATATTCTGTATTACAGCCTATGTGGCTAGAGGCTATCATACTGGACAGTGCAGGTCTAAACATTTCAATTAAAAGAAGGAAACTCTCAGATTGGATAAAAGAGCAAGACCCAACTATATGCTGTCAATACAGTAACTGACAAACTGATTCTAAAATTTATATGGAAATGTAGGAGATTTAGAATAGCTAAAGCAATTTTACAAAGGAACAAGTTGAAGAAGTCCTACCTAATCATAAAGCTACAATCACCAAGAAGAGTGGTACTGTGACAATCTAGTATTTATCGATTTGTCTACTTCATCAAAATTAACAACCTGTGATCACCAAGGAATATGTCAGTCACAGACTGGGAGAAAATATTATATATATACAACAAAGTACTTGTATTCAGAACACATAAAGAATTTGTATGATTCAATAATAAGATAACTCATTTTTTTAAAAAACAGATAAAAGACTTGAACAGACACTTCACAAAGAAGATAAAATAGCCAATAAGCAAACAAAAGAGTGCTCCACATTACTAGCTGTCAGGGAAATGTGAATTAAAACTACAATAAGATACCATTGAACACTCACTAAAATGGCTAAAATTAAAAAGGCTGATAATGTCAAGTGTTGGAGATGAACAACAACAACCGGAACTCTGATAAACTTGCTGGTATGAAGGCAAAATGGTACAGCCACTGTGGAAAACAGGTGAGTAGTTTCTTATAAAGTTAAATACACATTACTATACAACCAAAAGCAACCCCACTTGTAGGTACCTAGGATAAATAAAAACATATATCCATATAAGGACTTGGCACAAATGTTCATTGCAGCTTTACTCCAAAAAGTAAAACACTAGAAACAACCAAAATGCCCAACAACTGGTGAATGGATAAACAAATCGTAGTATAACTATACAATGGAATACTAAACCACTGATACATGCCACAACATAGATAAATCTCAAAAGCTAAGTATCTAAACAGTGATTTATTTACTGTGACTTGAATTTAAAAAAAAAGTATATTTTTTCATATATACATGAATATGGATGAAAATGTCTCAATGTTCTACTGTCTTCTGGTTTGTGTTGTTTCTTATGAGAAACCTGTGGTAAAATATGTTTTACTTGTGTGTGATATGTCTCCCCACACCTAGTTGATTGTAAATAGTGAGAGACTATTGAGAGTGGTTACCACTGGAGACTGGACTTGGAGGTTGAGGAGAGTGGTCTTAGAGATGGGGGTGAGAAAAAGTTTCTTCTTATTGTATATGGTTGGTAGAATTCTAAGATGGACCCCAAGACTCATGGCCCCTGGTATACCCACACCTTCTAGTCATTCAATCAAATACTCATCTAGGTGCTGCTGTGAAGTGATTTTGCAGATGTAGTTCAAGTCCCAAATCAGTTAACCTTAGAAAGGGAGATTATCTTGGCTGCACCTGACCTAATCAGGTGACCCCTTAAAAGGGACTGAGAACTTCCACGTGAAAGGGGTTTGAAGCAGGAAAGGGATTCAACATTCGAGTTTTCCCTTGCTGTTTGGATGACCGAGAGCCATACAGCAAGGACCTAAGAATGATCTCTAGGAGCTGATAGCAACCAGCCAGCAAGGAACTGAATTCTGCCAACAACCTGGAAGAGTTAGGCAGGGGAGCCTGCAGACAAGAACCCAGCCTGAGTGTGAGACCCTGAGGAGAGAAGCCAGCTGTGCCACACCTGACCTTCTGACCACACAACTGTGAGCTAACATACAAATTTGTGGCAATTTGTTAGGGAACAACTGAAAATGAGTACACTGCATTCTCTCTCGTGCCCTTGGAATTCCTGTTAGTCATGAAAGCATGTCATCTTCATGATTAAAACAAAGAGAGAGTGAAGAAACACCAGGCTTCCTAGTCATGAACATGTTCAATAAGATCAGAATAACACTTGTTAGAGTTTTTATATGATAACCACATGCTTATCACATACAAGTTGAACTAAATGGCCTGTAGAATCCCCTCTGTTTCTAAAGCTATGTGATTTTAACGTCATGGAAATAAAAGAAGCTTTTCAGAAATGTGGGAGTAGTCACCATAATTTACTGAAGAAGATGGGCCAAAGAAAGTGAGGACTATGCAATGACCACTCAATGGATTGGTCACTAAAAGATTTCAGCAGAGCAATGTGTTAGAAAAGTCTCTGAGGTGATAAAATAAAGATGGAATAGACTATTATGACCAATGAGAAAAAAAGATTAAAAGGGTGTCAGTTTGGTGATCAAATTACGGTTTTTCAAAACTGTGGGGAGCTTACCATGTGACGAGGAAGAGGGAAAAACAAGAAGAGACTTACTGGAACACAGAACTAAAGCAAATTAATTAATCTTATTGAATTATCCACACTTGTATTTGCAATTTTCTTTTAAAAAAATCGACGACTCACCTCTTTCACCAAGTTAAATTTACTCCCTTTTTTTTTTATTATAGATTTCAATATGAAACACCAAATACATCCTCCTGTACAGGCACACTGAGAAGGACCTTGGAAGCATGAAGGTCTGATCGCACACTCAGGAAGGCATCTGACAGGGCCATCCAGCCACTTCCTACCCTCTGTCATTAGAGGAGTTCTCTATATCCACCAAGCTCAGCAAGTATGCCCAGCAAAAGCAGTGCTAGTCTTCCTACTGAATGCTGTGGAAGCAGCTGGAATTTTAATTTGCTTAATGTTATATAAGATAGAGACATTGTAGACACTCAACAATTACTCAACCCATCATTGATTTTTAACTTGAATCAACATAAAAGTTAATTCACATTCAAGCTAAGTACAAACAAAACTCTGTTAGATTTCTGAGTAGTTATTTTGAAATCATAGACATTTGCAGTGTGATATGGATCTATATAAAAGACATACTCACTCTATGTTCATCATCAGATACTTGTGAGGATATACAAGTTGTTTTTGTTGCCACGTGAGACTGAAAGAGCTGAAAAAGAAAAAACAAATTAAAAGAAAACACAGATAGGGAGCCAGCCCAGTGGTGTAGTGGTTAAGTTCGTGCGCTCTACTTTGGCGGCTCAGGGTTCGCGGGTTCAGATCCCTGGCACAGACCTACACACTGCTTATCAAGCCATGCTGTGGTGGCATCCAATATACAAAATAGAGGAAGACTGGCACAGATGTGAGCTCACGGACAATCTTCCTCAAGCAAAAAGAGAAAGGTTTGCAGCAGATGTTAGCCCAGGGCCAATCTTCCTGAGCAAAAAGAGGATTGGCAACAGATGTTAGCTCAGGGCTAATCTTCCTCACCAAAAAAAAAAAAAAAAAAATATATATATATATATATATATGGATGTAGGAAGAAAAAATGCAAACGGTGCCAATGAGAAAACAGTGCAAAGTAAGTTCCCTTCCTACTCTTGCTTCCCTAGTATCTCAGTAGTTCTTTTCCTCAGAGGCCACCAGACTCTTACGCAGCCTTCTAGACAGATGACATGTGTATAAGCATATGTGAATATGCAGGTCTCTTTTGTTTATATAAATGTCAGTGGCCTACTGCTCTGCACTGTGGTGTTTTTGCTTCATCTCTCCTGAAGACCGTTTCACTCGTATGTGGTTCTACCTCATCGTTTCTCTAGTATAGCATTCTGCTCTGTGTACTACGGTATAGATGCATGTTCTATCTTTATTTAAGCAGTTCCCTAGTCCTTAACTTGTTGTTACGTGCCATCACGTCAGCTCCTACTCCTGGTGACCCTATGCATGAGTGATGTCCACAATGTCCTGTCCTCAACAGCCTACTCAGCTCCTGTAGACGCAGGCCTGTGGCTTCCTTTATGGAGTCAACCCATCTCCTGTTTGGTCCTTCTCTTCTCCTGCTGCCTTCTACTTTTCCCAGCATTATTGTCTTTCCAGAGAATCCTGCCTTCTCATGATGCACCCAAAGTAGGACAGCCTCAGTGTTATCATCTTTGCCTCCAGTGATGGTTCAGGCTTAATTTTCTCTAGGACCCACTTGTTGTCTTTCTGGCAGTCCCGGGTATCTGTAGAGCTCTCCTCCAACACCATGTTTCAAATGAATCCATTTTTTTCCTGTCAGCCTTCTTCCCTGTCCCGCTTCTGCACCCGGACACAGTGACTGGGAATATGGGGGTGTGGATAATCCTGGCCTTGGTCTCTAACGACACTTCCTTACACTCGATGATCTTTCCTAATTCCTTCATTGCTGCCCTTCCGAGTCTCAGTCTTCTCTTGGTTTCTTGGCTGTGGTCTCCATTTAAATTGTTGACTGAACCAAGGCAGACCAAAATCTTTTAACAATTGCAGTGTCTTCAGTGCCTACATTAAGTAGTGTAGTTCTTCTGTAGTCATGATTTTTGTCTTTATAACGTTCAAATGCAGTCCTGCTTTTGCATTTTCTTCTTTCACTTTCATCAGAATTTGTTTTGAGTCATTGCTGCTTTCTGCCAGGAAGATGGTGTCATCTCCATATCTTAGACTGTTGATATTTCTTCCACCAATTTTCGCTCCTCCTTCATCTGAGTCTAGCCCAGTTTTTCATATGATATGTTCTGCGTCAGATTAAACAGAAAGGGAGATAAAATGCACCCTCACACCTTTGCCTAAAGGAAACCGTTCTGTCTCTCCATATTCTCTCTTGATGTGGCTTCTTGTCCACAGTACAGGTCACACATCAGGACAGTCAAGTGCTGAGGCTCACTGAGTACTTTGCAAAAGCAAAGTACTTTTGCTTCTTTCAGAGCAGCCCACAGCTTTTCATGATCCATGCACTCAAAGGCTTTACTGTTGTCTATAAAACGTAGACTGACTTTCTTCTGAAATTCCTTGGAACACTCCAGTAGCCAACGAACAATCTCCGTCAGATCTCACGTGCCTCTCCCTTACTGAAATCCAGTGTGGACCTCAGGCATTTCTGGCTCCATGTGAGGCAGAGGCCTTTGCTGCAGCACTTTGAGCATTACTTTACTGGCCTGGGAAGTTAGAGCAGTGGGCCTGTAGTCACCACACTCCTTGCACCTCCTTTCTTGGGGACTGGGATGTATATTGAGTGTTCTAGTCTGTAGGCCATTGTTTCGTTTTCATATTTCTTGGCATATTCTTGTTAGGATTTTGACAGATCAGTCTCTGTGGCTTGAAATAATTCTATCAATATCCCATCTACCCCTCGTGACTCAGTTCTTCCCGCATTTCCAGGGGAGCTGTCACTTCACCTTCTAGAATTACGGTTCTTCCTCGTAGGAACCTTCTTCAAAGGCATCTGTTGTCCTTTTCTCTCTTCTGTGTAGACCTTCATATACTGTTTCCACCTTCCCTCTATTTTCTCCTGATCAGATAGTGTGCTTCCCTGTTGGTTGTTCAACATTCCTAATCTAGTTTAAATTTCCCTTTGATTTCTTGAATCTTCTGGAAGAGACCTCTTGTTCTTCCTTTTTGTTGTTCTCCTCTCTCTCTTCGCACTGGCCATTAGAGTGCCAAGTGCAGGATTCTAGCCCTGCTTTTAGAACTTGTACTTTTGCTTCTCCTCTGTCTTTAACAAGTTTTAGTGTTTCTTCTGTTATCCATCTTGATTTTTCTTTCTTTTTACTTCAGGCATTGTGTTTTCACATCTTCCTTAATGATATTTCTGGTTGCAGTCCATAGTTCTTCTGGTTCTCAGTCAATTAAGTTTAACAATGCAAATCTGGTTTTTACATGGAATTTACATTCGTCGAGAATGTTGTTTACATTATTTTTGGCACTACGATTCTTTCAGCGCTCTTCTTTAGCTTTACTCTCATATTCAATGTTAACGGTTCATGGTCAGCACCACAATCTGCTCCTGGTCTTGTTTTGGCAGAGAGAATACAGCTTCTCCATCTCCTGCTTCCAGTTACGTGGTCTGTTTGATTTCTATCTTGGCATCTGGTGATGACCGTGTAGACAGTCGTCTGTTGCATTGCTTGAAGCATGTATGTACGATGGACAGATGGTTGGTTTTGCAGAAATCCATGAGCCGGTCTCCTGCTTCCTTTCTGAACCCTAGTACAAATTTTCTGGTGACATTTGATTCCACTTGATATCCTACTTTTGTGTTTCAGTCACCTATAATTATCAGCATATCTTGTTTTGGTGTATGATTGATTTCTTCTTGGATACTTGTGTCAAAACTTTGTTTCACCTTCTTCAGCACCCATAGTTGGAGCACAGACTTGGATGATGGTTATGTTAGATTTTCCCAGAAGTCTGTGATATTCTTCGGTCAGGCCTTGCATCATAGCCCTAACTGCCTGTGCGGCCTCCTGCGTCAGTATTGGAGCCATTCTCTTTCTTCTGAGTCTGTCGTTTCCAGAGTAGAACACTGTAGTTGTCTGACTGAAGGTCCCATTCCCATCCATTTTAGTTCACTAACGCCGAGCACTGTGATATTTACATTGCATATTCCAGTGGTGTGTGTGGTCCAGCCTTTGACTTTCCTTTCACCTTTGTGCGCTTCAGCTGTTGGACGTCCTTCTGGCTTTAGTCTGGTGGCGTCATTAGCAACAGTGCTATTCGTGCTTGTTCTCTGCTCTTCCCCAGTCACTGTTTGAGTGCCTTCCGACCTGGGGTCTTCATCTTCCAGCACTATCTCATATTTCATTTTGGACTGTCTCATCACAGGGTCTTCAACAGTCTTTAATTACAATTAACTATGCTACAATGAACAGTTTTGCCCATATATACCATGAAAGGGAGAACCTTATCGCTGCTACAAGGGAGTGATGCTTCTGGCACCTCAAAATGCACCCCCCACAGACACATAGGTATACATCATGACTGGATTTTACAGAATGCTAACAACAATCTTCCTCTGCTACATTCTGGGTAATACAGTCATGCATGGCTTAACAATTGGGCTACATTCCGAGAAATGTGTCATTAGGTGATTTTGTCACTGTACAAACATCAGAGTGTACTCATACAAACCTAGGTGGTATAGCCTACTACACACCTAGGCTATGTGGTACTTATCTTATGGGACCACATTGTATATACAGTCTGTCATTGACAGAAATGTCATTATGCAGTACAAGACTGTATAAGCTTTTGAAGGCTGGCCTTGTGACTTAACCACTACACACAGAGTGTTTCCAAATCCTGAGTGGCTAACTCAACACATTCTTCCAACATGAAATGACTCCTGTCAGTTAGAAGATACCCCCATTTAAAGGCACACAACAAAAGCTTGTAGACGAACACACAGGTACTGGCTGTGTTTTCACAATTTAAAAAGTGAAAAGTACATAATAATACAAAGCACATCGAATGGGCCTAAGGTTTTGTTTTTTGTTTTGAACTATACATATACTTCACCTTACTCCCTCCAGCCAGCCCCCTGCCATTCTACTAAGCCCCCTTCACCCCCAGTCACTGTGTGGCACATAAGCAATAGATCACGTCCCTCTCCTGTGCCAGGACAGAAAAGTGAGAGTGACTGGAAAAGAACCGTGGTAGTTACAGAGATCTGGAGAGAGAGGAGATCATTAAAGGCCAGAGCAGTTTTCAAAGAAGACAATGATATTCAATGGAGTCAGGAAAGTGGTATAGCATCAGATGAGGTGGCATTTAAGGTAGAAAAAAATCCCTGAGCACCAGAAGGGAGACAGAATTTCATATCTGGAGAATAGAAATAGTGAGTATAAGAGTTGGGTGGGGGAAAAAAAGGGTTTATTGGTCTCCTGCTGCAAAGTTATGAATGAGGTTGAGAAAGAGTTAGGGATAATAGACGAGTAGCCAACTGGGGAAGTGTCTACCTAAAGAGTCTGACTTGTTGGTAAAGGCAAAGAAGTGCTACAGAAAATATCTACTTAGGGACCCTGTTCAGAGCCCTGCGTTAGATAAACTGAATAAGAGAGTAGAACATTCCACGCTCAGTGATACTTCCTGATGTAACATGCTATCTGCTCACACCAGTGATGGAAGTGATGTGCCACACATCTAATTAACAGA